GAAAAAGTAAGAGTTGCGTTATTAAAAACTTCTAATACGGCATTCAATTTTTCAACAATAACAAATTCAAAAGGATTAATGATTATACGAAGTTCATCCCTAAAAAATTCAGCAAGTTCCTCTTTATATCTTAGGATCTGTGCAATCAATTTGTAAGTACTATTCCATCTAATGTTGATATCTCTGGCAAAACTTATTTCTTTTTTACCCTTAGACTTACAGAACATCTTCCAGGACCTCGAAATAAGACGAGCCCCCCAAATTTTTTTAATTCCTTCTTTAATATTTGTCAAAACTCCGCCCATAGCTTGTAGTCCCTGTTGAACACATAAATTTAAAACATGACAGGCACACCGTTGATGCAGAAATCTACCCATAGTCGTAGACGGTGGGCAAATTTCTCTAAGTCTAGGAATAGCAGCAGTATTATTAGTAGCATTATCAAAACCAAATGAAAAAACTTTTTCAGATAAGTTATATTCCCGCAGAATACTCTGAAGCAACAGAAAAATATTTTCAGCAGTATGCTGATCATTGAAATCACGAAATGCAAGAACACGTTTATGCATAATCCAATCACTATCTATCCAATGACAAGTAACACCCATATAAGACAAATTATGATAAGTTTCACCCCAAATATCAGAACAAATAGCAACACGAGAATTAAAATTGAGAAAAAAATTTGCCAAATTAATTTTTTCCATTTTATACTGGCGAATAATTTCTCGTTTAATTGTTTTTCTTGAAAAACCTCGTGCTTGAGTTTTAATGCATGTTGACAATAATCAATAAAACCAAGTTTTTCAGAAAACATGTATGGCAAATTTTCTTCACAAATCATTTCGGCCATTTTTGCTTATTTTGCTCGTCGCTATAAGCAAAAAGGCCGCCCTTACCTCTGTTAGCAAACCGAGAAATTTGGGTTTGCACTTCTTGTCGTCCCTTTTATTTGGCCTCGTATTTGGCGTACTCCACGGGATGCATCGACCTTAGGTGTTTTTCCGGACTGCCATAACCGCCGGAAACTCCCATTTTTATGACGGTCCCGCAATGTTTACAAGTTCCATAAACTATGCCATCTTTTGTGTCTTTGTCAAAATGATAAACAAATAAATCTGATTTATATTTTTTTTACCTTTGTCCGGACCTCGTGAGGTCTCGGGCTCACCTGCATCCACGTCGACGTCGTTGCTTTGCGGTGTAGGCTCATCGTCCCCGTCAAGATTATCTAGTCCTGCTTCATCAACATCCTCGAATAGACTATCAAGAATGGGGAGATTCGCGTCTCCTCTACCAGAATAAATCTGGTTGAATTCTTCATCTGTCATAGCGTCCCCGATTAAATGATCTGGGACAGTAGGAAACGAAGAGACGTAGTGTCTTCCTCGAGAACCGCGTGAGGTCGAACCGTCGGAGGTGGCTTTAGCTTTGCCTCTCCTCAAACTTCGATTCACGGCGCCCATATCCACGGACCTTTTACCGGACTCTCTCGACATTTTAATATATATATTTTTTGATATAGAAAAATAATATATTAAATTTTGATAATTTAAAAAAATTCAAAATTTTATATATTAAAATTTCGAAAATTTCAAAAAATAAAGAATATATTTAAATTATTTAAAGATTAAAGAATATATTTAAAAATTAATAATATTTTAGATTTCGAAAATTTTGAAAAAATTTCGAAATTTTATATATTAAAATTTTGAAAATTTCAAAATTTTAATGTATAAAATTTTTATATTATTATATGAATATTAAATGTATAAAAATTAAAAAGAGATAATAAGATTGAGAGATTGATAAATTGAGAGAATGAGAGAATGAGAGATGGATTGAGAAATTGAGTGATTTTTTAGGAAAATAATGTGAGAATTTATAGTTTCCAATTCCCCCCCTCCCCTCTTCCCCTCCCCCACCTCAACAGCTAAATAGCCGTTTGAGGTGTGCCCCTCACTAATGTATTTGGCTTTTTTTTGCAGGTGGGACTGTTGGGAGCCGTTGGGAGAATGAACCAAAGAAAAAAAAAATGTAACCGGGTACCGGAACCGGACCGGTACCGGTACCAAAAAATAGGTACCGGAACCGGTACCGAAATGGGCGGTACCGGTACCGGTTCCCGGAACCGGTGACACGGCGGCGACGGCGGTAACGGTGGCGGGTACCGGCGGTAACGTTGCTAGTCACGGTACCGTACCGGTACTGTGTCCATCCCTAGTTTTACCCCTTTAGCTTTGTATATACTAGACTCGTACCCGTGCGTTGCACGACCTAAATATAAACTATATACTTAGGGAAAGCATTGATGAAAGAAAATGATAAAATTAAATTATAATAATAACATATAATCAAATATTAAAAAATTATGAACAATATACATGTTCACAATGAAAGATTAATTCAATCGAATCTCCTCCTCTTGTCCAAGCCAGAATAAAGTAGACACGAACGGCTCGTAACATAAGCATCCAAGTGGTTCGACTATAGTCAATCTCGGCAAGCAGATTCCACATACTCTTTGAATGTTTTGAGACATTTTTTGAAAATGGACCGAATTGGGTTGAAACGTATGAAATGTTTGAAGTATAAGTAGTATATACTATTGGACAATCAATCTACCCATTAAATGTCTTAATTTAGTAAATCTATTTAAAACGGGACGGAGGGAGTATGATTTAATATAAAGTATGCATCGAGCCACGTACCAATTTTACTACGCATGCGGTTCCATAGCAAAACACTAACCATTTATTTATCTTGATTTGACATAAAGTTTGCATTGAGCCACACACTAACATTAGTACGCACGCGGTTTTATATTAATACACTACCGATTTATTTATTTTGATTTGACATAAAGTTTACATGGAATCACGCATCAACTTTACTACGCATGCGTTCCATAGCAATACAATACCCGATCATTTATTTAATTTGATTTGACATAAAATTTGCATCGAGTCACGCATCAAAGTTACTACGCACGCAGTTCCATATCAATACATTACCCATTTATTTGTTTTGATTTGATATAAAGTTTACATCGAGTCACGCACCAATTTTACTACGCACGCGGTTCCATAGCAATACACTATCTATTTATTTCTTTTGATTTGATATAAAGTTTGCATTGATCCACGCACCAACATTACTACGTACGTGGTTCCATATCAATACATACTCATTTATTTATTTTGATTTGACATAAAATTTGCATCGAGTCATGCACCAACTTTACTACGCACGCGATTCTATAACAATACACTTCATTTATTTATTTTGATTTGACATAAAATTTACATCGAGCCACACACCTACATTACTATGCACGCGGCTCTATATCTTAGCTTTGTGTATAGTTAGATCTATTTATTTAATTGATTTGTCCTAAAGCATGTCACTTTCCTCCATAAAGTATCATTACTTTATTTTATAGAGTAACGTACCACATCATGGAGCAAAGCACCACCGATTGGACAACCCAAATAAAGTTGATTTGACAATACTCAAAGAGGCTTAGGGAATAGCTGTCAAGGGAGGCCCAATCCGGCCCAAAAAAGCCTTGTGAAATAGGCAGGGACACTGTTCACACATGCATATTAGCATTGTATATAGGAGGATTGACAAATCTATTTATTTAATTGGATTTGATATAAAGCTACCCTTGAGCAACACAATATCTTTTACTTTATTGAATAGGTAGCTATACATTTCCCTTGAGCAACAAACAAAATTTTCCTTGAATAATGCACCGAATTTTTCCTTGAGCAACGCACCAAAAGCTTATAATGGCACACATTTCAAAAGATTTGAAAATCTACCCTCTTAATTGGCACGCTTAAAATATGTGTTGCTATAGAAAATACTCAAGCAAAAGAAGATTTGTAGAATCTAGTAAATAAATATTGATGGGACATAAATAACTACTTTTATGGTTGGAAAATAAGATTTGGTAATTCCTTCAGTAAAGCTAATTTCAAATAAATGAAACTACTTTTTTGAGTGGCACGCGAAAATATGCTCAATAAAGGTACCTACACACTTAGCCAAATTTCAGCCCAATAATATCAACCCATTTTGCAGTGACCCGACCCATTAATTTGGGGGGGGGGGGGAATTTATTTTAACTCCTACCTTGTTATATATAATGACTAATTAAGAGAGCTATACATCACAGAATCTAATATGCTTATAAAAGAAAAGGAGAAATATAAAGTATTACCCAAGCAATATTATCAAGGATAAAAATTCCGGTGAAAATCTAATAATACTCTAAAAGAGACTATTCCAAATGAATACCGAAACCATTTTTTAATATTCCAGTGAAAATCTAATATTATCAAATGAATACCGAAACCATTTTTTTACACATTATTTTGCACATTAATATCATTTTTTTACAAATGAAAACTTAGATGACACAATAATTAGTTGTTGAGAGAATAGAAGCAAAATTTGGTGAATGATAAGCAGCACATGAACAATAATGTGCAAAAGGGAGTAGTATATAAAAAAAAATGGGGAATTTAATGATATACAATGTAACATTTCTAAGATCATTAACAACTCTAGAAGCGGTAGAAATCAAAACTGCAATGAATTTTGTGTATTCATTCTTAGAATGTTTTACAAACTCAGCCATATTCCTATATTACTTTTCCATAATCCTGTTAACACCAATAATTGGTTGAATGCAATATAATACCTCTCCTTTAAAATGAGTAGGTTTCTATGTAGGCACTCCTCTTTTAGCATTATAATTATATGCAGCTCATGTTTCTATTGGAAGAGCTCTCCAAACATTAAAAATTATAGTCCTACAAACAGTTTGGGCTATAAAGAGTTTATTGAGAAGAACATTAGGTTGTTTTTCTAAAAAAAAGAAGATATATGAAAGTCACCCAAGATTGCTCTTAATCATCCAAAAAGAAGATAAATGGTGACTCCAGCATGGCTGCCAAAAGTTTAAGACATAATGAGTAATAAAGTTGCCAAAAAAACATGATTTTTTTAAAAAAAGTAAATTCAAAATCCTAGCTAAAAATTCAATGCAAATGAATCACACTAGAACTTAAAATTAAAAAAAGTAAATCTTCATTTCTACAGGTTAATGACAAAAACAAAATCAATATTTGTAAAGGTATCAATAATCTATCCCGCCCATCTAATTATTATAACCTAACAACTAACCATATAATTATGCTCTCCAAAAACGATGGGCTACAATGCAACTTATTTAAATGTTCAATAAATTTAAAGGAATCCCTCACACATATAAGCATAAAACTAAAATGTCAAAGAACTTACAGAGCATTTGCATTGATGGGGTTATGGTCAAGACCCCTGAACAAATTCAACACCTAGATTAAAAAACAATAATCACTTATAACTATGGAGTTTGAGAGTTGAGCGTCACAGTTAATCCTGTTAACTAACATATACAATTTACTAATGATACTTTAATGAAAGAAAAAACAAAGAAAAAATTTTACCTTTGATAGGATAAAATTTCAAATAAAGCCACCTTTATGGATGGAAGCTAGGAACATCTGAATCAATAAAGGATATGTTCGCCAATTAGAAAACTCAGTGTTTGTTCATTACAAATATTAAAAAAATATTTTTTGATAAATTTCATCAGTGGTATCTCGGTTTTGAAGGTTTTTTAGCGAGTTTCATATTAAATGCAGGTCATTTTAAGCGACGTGTGCTTCTGTTGGAAATATTTGATAAATTGGACAATTTTCGGACATAAATTTGGTAGGGTCCACAAAATTATTTTCCGAAATAATTATGGACGTTCAATCTCGTAAGTAAGACGAACGTCTCGACATATGACATGCCATAAACGGTGCTCGGGTAAATGAGAAATTAATTCTCAAAGTTGAATACGAGGGTAGAGTAAATAGTCTTGTCCCAGACCGGTTCTTAAACCTTTCATATTCTCATATTTAAGCTTAGGCTTCTAATTGAGCTTATGAAAGGAACAAGAAGAGGACTCCTCGCGCGCCCGCCACCGCTGCCGTCCGTCCGGCTCGGCACGACACGCGCGCGCTCGACGTCAGGGCGGGGCGGGGCGCGGCGTGGCGAGGCACGGTCCAGCGAAGAGCCAAAATTCCCTCCTATAAAAGGAGGGCTTGGCTGCAGGAGAAGAATACACTCGAAAATCTCTCTCTCTCTGCGTTATAAAACTTTCTGACCCTCTCCCATCTCCGATCATCTTCTCCAGCTATAACTTCCGTCGTTCTCGTTTGTCGGTGCACAGTGCTACCGCCCTAGGCCTTGCACGAAGCGGTTTTATCTTGGGAGGAGATTGCCCATGTTTTCCTGTGCGTGAGGCGGGCAATACTACCTTAAAGAAAGCTCTAGCGACTCCGCTTTCCTTACCCGTCTTCTAAGAAACTGTTCCGGCGACGTTCCTACCGGCGTAGCTTTTCGTCTTCTTGCTCCGTCCGTTCGTGTTCTTGCGTCCGTTCGAGCATCCGATGACTCCAATTTTCTTTTTTCTTTTATTCTCGTTGTAAAATCCGAACGTTTTATAAGTTCGGATTAATTTAATTTTATTTTCCCGTTGTAATATTTAACAATCTTAAGGTAGTAATATGGAATTCGGATTCGGCATCACGGGTTCCTCTGGCAACGGAATGAGTTCCGAAGTTCCGGTCGAAACCACCTCGGTCGCCATGGTTGTGCCTTCCTCACCGCTGCCCTTCGGGTCAAGTGTGGGGGCCGCCACCATGACCTCCTTCTCGATGCCAAGCTCGATCTTCGGGTCGGCCCCTCGACCCATTCCCGGGCTCGAAACCACGGGGGATTACCCCGTCGGTAATTCAAACCCATTTCTCGGACCGACTATGGCTTCGGCCTCAAAGGTCAACTTTGGACTCCCCACACCGGTCAATCTATTCGTTGGACCTCATTGGGCGACCAACGGGCCTTTCCTCCACACGCCCAATGCAGTTGGGCCGATTTTGGTGCCCGCTAGTTCGGTTCAAAGGCCACCGAAGTTCAATGGCATGAACTTCAAAATGTGGCAACAAAAGATGACGTTCTTCATGACCGTCCTAGGATTTGCTGAGTACCTGCAGCAAGATCCTCCCCAGCCCAACGTAGCCAACGACCCCCTCGTGGCGATGGTGAACCAAGCATGGTACCACAACAACTACCTCGCCATCAACATTATCCTTGAGGGGTTGGGAGATACGCTGTACCCCGTCTATGCCGGTGCTAAGCTTGCAAAAGAGCTTTGGAATAGCTTGTACAAGAAGTATCAAGCTCAAGATGCCGGCACGAAGAAATTCATTGTCGGGAAGATGCTGGACTACAAGATGGTCGACAGAAAATCTGTTGTCGCCCAAGCTGAAGAGCTTACGGTCATCTTCAATAAATGCAACAAAGAGAAAGTAGGCGTCAGTGAAGAATTCCAAGTGGCAGCCATCATCCACAAACTTCCTTGGTCATGGGAAGATTTCCAAGCCGACCTCAAGCTCAAAAGAACGGAGCTAAACTTGGAGCAATTGCTCACGCGGTTGAGGATCCGAGAGGAAGGGCTTCCCAGAAGAGGTGGAGGGGCAAAGGCGAATGTGGTAGAACATCCGTCGGGCTCTTCACATGGCGGGAAGGACAAAAATTAAAGAAAATGGGTCCTAAAGGTGGGGTTTCTTAATTTGCAGGAAAGTGCTACAATTGTGGCATTACCGGGCATCATTCCTTCGATTGTAGGAAAAAGAAGCCACACAAGAACAAGAAGAAAACCACCGAAGCCATGTGCGGAGAGCTCGACAACCTGGACCTCTGCGCAATCGTCACCGAGGTGAATCTCGTCGGGTCAAACCCGAGGGAATGGTTTGTGGACACAGGGGCCACACGTCATATTTGCTCCAACCGGAGCATGTTTCACAAATTTCAAGAGACCTCCGGTGACAAAGTCTAGATGGGCAACTCGGCCCAATCAGAGGTTCAAGGGATTGGAAAGATTAAGCTAAAAATGACTTCCGGCAAGGAGCTAACGCTTAACGACGTGCTCTATGTACCAGACATTCGTAAGAATTTAGTGTCGGGGTCATTGTTGATCAAACACGGCTTTCGAATGGTGTTTGAATCAGATAAGCTAATCTTGTCCAAGAAAGGGATTTTTATAGGAAAAGGCTATATTTCCAATGGGCTTGTAAAGCTAAATGTAATGACAGTTCATGAAAAGATTAATAAAAATCCTGTTGCTTATGTGTGTGAGTCTTCTAGTTTATGGCATGGTAGACTAGGACATGTTAATTATGCATCTCTCCGGAAATTAATTAACATGGAACACATACATAAGTTTAGTATTGACTTAACCCACAAGTGCGAAACTTGTGTTGAGGCAAAGTCAACTCGAAGTTCGTTTCAAACGATCGAATGGAACACTCAACCTCTAGAGTTGGTTCACACCGACTTGTGTGATTTTCGAACAACGCCTTCAAGAGGGGGTAATAAGTACTTTATTACCTTCGTTGATGATAGCACGAAATATTGCTATATCTATTTACTAAAAAGTAAAGATGAAGCATTAGATACTTTTATTTGATATAAGAATGAAGTGGAAAATCAACTCAATCGCAAAATCAAAGCATTGAGAAGCGATAGAGGTGGTGAGTATGATGCTCCGCTTAATGAGTTTTGTGCACAACACGAAATAGTGCATCAAGTAACCCCACCGTATACACCGCAGTCTAACGGAGTAGCGGAGCGGAAAAATCGCACTCTAAAAGACATGATGAATGCGATGCTACTTAGTTCTGGATTACCCCAGAACATGTGGGGGGAGGCTGTTTTATCAAGAAATTATTTACTAAATAAAATACCTCGTAAGAAACTTGACAAAACTTCGTATGAACTCTAGCATAATAGGAAACCTTCCTATAAGTATCTCAAAGTGTGGGGGTGTATCGCGAAAGTACTTGCACCACCACCAAAGAAGATGAAGATTGGTCCAAAAACAATTGATGGAATCTTCATCGGGTACAATAGTACGTCATACCGGTTCTTGGTGTACAAATCAGATAATCCTGAAATTCACAAGAACACAATCATTGAGTCACGGAATGCAACGTTTTTTGAGCACATTTTTCCTCTCAAGTCAAGTGACGAAGCTAGTTCGTCCAAACGTTCTCATACTGAGATGATGGATAACGATGATCCAAATCAGTTGAATTCCAGTGACGATGATGAAGTCGAACATGAGACTGAATTGAGACGAAGTAAAAGAATACGAACTGAAAAGACGTTCGGTTCTGACTTCATAACATATCTGATAGAATTTGACAAAGGAACTTTGTCATTTCTAATGGAAAATGAACCCGATATTCTAACCTGTTTGGTAGAAAAGGAACCATGAACCTATCACGAGGCCGTAACCTCAACTGAGGGACCTCAGTGGCGAGAGGCCATAAAAAGTGAAGTTGATTCTATTCTTCAGAATCACACGTGGGAATTGGTTGATCTCCCTCCAGGGTGTAAACCATTAGGTTCTAAATGGGTCTTTCGGAGGAAAATGAAGCCTGACGGCTTCATTGACAAGTACAAAGCTAGACTTGTGATCAAGGGGTATAGCCAACGCGAGGGCTATGACTACTTTGATACTTACGCGCCTGTGACTAGGATAGATTCTATCAGAATGATCATCGCATTTGCATCCTTACGAAACTTGGATGTTTACCAAATGGATGTGAAGACAACTTTTCTAAATGGCGAACTAGATGAAAAAATCTATATGGAACAACCCGAAGGGTTTAAGGTTCCGGGCCAAGAAAAGAAGGTCTGCAAGCTTGTGAAATCATTATACGGTCTTAAAAAAGCGCCAAAACAATGGCACGATATGTTTGACGAGGAAATGATGAACAACGGTTTTAACATAAATGAGTCGGATAAGTGCGTATACTTTAAGGACTGAAGGATATGTCATTCTATGTCTGTATGTAGACGACATACGGAAAAAAATAAATGAGAAGGATGGTTAAGTCCACCAAGGACATGTTGAACGCACGATTCGATACGAAAGATTTGGGTCTGGCTGATGTGATTCTTGGAATCAAAATACTAAGAAGACTGGATGGTCTGAGCTTGAGCCAATCCCACTACATTGACAAGATCCTTGAGAAATTCAACAAGGATGATACAAAGATAGCTAAGACGCCGATAGACGTAAATGTTCACCTTGGTAAACACCGAGAGAGTAGCGATTCTCAGACAGAATACGCTAGAGTTATCGGAAGTCTAATGTATCTGATGAGCTGCACACGGCCAGACTTAGCTTGCGCCATTAGCAAACTAAGCAGGTATACTAGCAATCCGAGTGCTGAGCACTGGAAGGCCATAGTCCGAGTGATGAGATACCTTCGGTATACTCGAGATTATAGCCTATGCTATGGTAGGTATCCACCCGTGCTGGAAGGGTACACTGATGCCAATTGGATTGCGGATAATAAGGATTCAAAATCCAGAAGTGGATTTATCTTTATGTTAGTCGGTGCTGCTGTTTCCTAGAAATCCTCAAAACAAACGTTAATTGCTAGATCCACCATGGAATCTGAGTTCATAGCACTAGATAAGTGTGCAGAACATGCCGAGTGGCTTCAGAATTTACTTGAGGATATTCCAAACTGGGAAAAACCAGTTCTTCCTATTTGCATTTATTGTGACTGTCAGTCAGCAATAGGACGAGCTCGAAAAAAATTGTATAATGGTAAGTCTAGGCACATTCGCCGTAGACACAAAACCATTAGGCAACTTCTCAATACGGGTATTATCTCGATTGACTATGTCAAGTCAAGGGATAATTTAGTGGATCCATTAACCAAAGGGTTAACCAATGAGCAACATGAGAAGTTGGTAGTAGGAATGGGTCTGAAAGCCCTACCCTGTGCAGGGAACGTTCCATGAAGGAAAACCCAACCTAGGTGGTACCTGGGTTCAATGGGACAACCTACTTGTGGAACGAAGCATGGTCACTATGGGGGCAAGCCGAATCACCGACTTAACACCCCCCCGTTCCTACTAAGATATAGTGACTCCCGAAAACGATGAGGATAGCATGACGCTTTAATGATTCTTGAAGTATGGACAACAAGGTCCAAGTGGAGTAATCGGTATACTCTTAGAAGAATCACTTATGTAAGAGTGAAGTGCGGTCGCTTCAACAGAAGGACTTCGGGCTGATCCTGTCTGACACTCTCGCAGAACCAGATGCGTGTTCCACGACCATAATGGGCACACCCATGAGAACGGAATGATGGTTGATTGAAACTTGTGTATTGTATATCGTCGTTTACATAAACGGCAGTACACTTCAAAGACATCACGTTCTACTGAACAGCCAGTAGAGAAGGTATACTTTACAAGGAGTAGGTTCAAAGGCATAAAACCTACCTACTCTTGCAGGTTTCAACTACAGAGTTATTGCCAGTTACATGAATTAATTTTCATTCATGTGGGGGATTGTTGGAAATATTTGATTAATTTGGACAATTTTCGGACATAAATTGAGTAGGGTCCACAAAATTATTTTCCGAAATAATTATGGACGTTCAATCTCGTAAGTAAGACAAACGTCTTGACATATGACACGCCATAAACGGTGCTCGGGTGAATGAGAAATTAATTCTCAAAGTTGAATACGAGGGTAGAGTAAATACTCTTGTCCCACACCGGTTCTTAAACCTTTCATATTCTCATATTTAAGCTTAGGCTTCTAATTGAGCTTATGAAAGGAACAAGAAGAGGACTCCTCGCGCGCCCGCCGCCGTCCGTCCGGCTTAGCACGACACGCGCGCGCGTCGGGGCAGGGCGTGGCGTGGCGCGGCGCGCCCGCGTCTGTGCCGTGGCAGGGCTAAATTTTTACGAGACCGAATTGAACACGCGTGGATACTTTGTGATTAACGAAGTGCCATCCAAGAAGCATGCATGCACAAGGGAGGCGAAGGGGGTGCCAGCGACGCCTCGTAATCTCCGACGGTCCAGCGAAGAGCCAAAATTCCCTCCTATAAAAGGAGGGCTTGGCTGCAGGAGAAGAATACACTCGAAAATCTCTCTCTCTGCGTTATAAAACTTTCCGACCCTCTCCCATCTCCGATGATCTTCTCCGGCTATAACTTTCGTCGTTCTCGTTCGTCGGTGCACGGTGCTACCGCCCTAGGCCTTGCACGAAGTGGTTTTATCTTGGGAGGAGATTGCCCACCTTTGCCTATGCGGGAGGCAGGCAATACTACCTTAAGAAAAGCTCCGGCGACTCCGCTTTCCTTACCCTTCTTCCAAGAAACTGTTCCGGCGACGTTCTTACCGGCGTATGTATTCGTCTTCCTGCTCCGTCCGTTCGTGTTCTTGCGTCCGTTCGAGCATCCGATGACTTCAATTTTCTTTTTTCTTTTATTTTCGTTGTAAAATCCGAATGTTTTTTAAGTTCTGATTTATTTTATTTTATTTTCCCGCTGTAATATTCAATAGCTTCTACTTCCTCATCTTTTTTTTTCATTTTGTTAACATCTTTTTCCTCCCCTTCTTCAACAGGATTTTGCTTTTCCATTTTCATCTTGCCTCTTACTCCCTCTATCCCGCAGTTTTTGTCCACTTTTGACTTTTGTAACTGTTTATCTAAGCACTTTGACTCATCAAATTCTCTCAATTTGTAAGCCTAAATATAGTCATGTGTGGTCTTGTTTGATTTGTCTTAACATATAGATTATTAATATTACCTCCGTCCCATAGTATTTGTCCACTTTCATTTTTACACAACATCCAATACACTTCTTTAATCCATTTTATCTTATAATTTGTATATTGAATAATTATAGAAATTATACATTAATAATCTATATGTTAAGACAAATCAAACAAGATTACACATGACTATATTTAGACTTACACATGAGAAAGTTTGATGAGTCAAAGTACTTAAATGAACAGTTCTAAAAGTCAAAACTGGACGAATACTCCGGGACAGAGGGAGAATATAATTTCTATAATTTTTTACTCCGTAATATACAAATTCCAAGATAAAATGGATTAAAGAAGTGCATTGGATGGTGTGTAAAAATGGAAGTGGACAAATACTCTGGGACGGAGGAAGTAATAATTTTTTCAAATAAGAGGCAACATTTTTTTTAATTTTTAATGTATTAAATTGCCATGTGGTATGTCGCAACAGCAAGTATGACGACGCCGGGGGTTCAAAACTCGCTTTTAGCAAAAACTTTAGTCTGTAAAAAGGCTTTATCGTGGCTTAAGGATTGTGGAGCTCGAGATGTGGAGCTCTTTTTTATCGTGAGACTTTGGCCTGCACGCTTAATCAAGGGACTATCGCAGCTCATCTTATCTGTATTCTATTGTTCATGCATGTTTGGACACGACATTTTGCTTCATGTTTCTTCACTTTATTCACAGATGCTTGGACTGTATAAAAGCTTTTAGAAGAAGAGTAAAATGTGGGAGCAAACACTTAATGATTACATATTCAATTCAAAGAAGAGGATTTCATGATGCACACGCTTATTATCCTATATGTTGTAATAACATCATGCTATAGCTCATATCAGAGCATCGCATATGGATAATCAAATTAATGAAAATGGAAATTAATAAATCTGAAAATCATAATGTAATAAAACAAATTAAAACCAGAACTTAATACCTCTGACCGTGCTTCCTTCATTGTTTTCATACAAAGCCGTAAGACATTGATTGCCCTCTCTGAAGACATGGTTTGATTTTGAATTTCAAAGCCTTACGACTATTCCTGATTTTGCTTATTATAGGCAAAATAGACCGATTTCCAGAAGCAGCATTTCCATTAGGTGAATCACTCCATCAGCATCCAATTCAATTGCACCGAGCTATCTAAAATAAGCTCAAACATGAAAGTTTTTAAGGCATAGCATACGACCCTTTTTGGAAGAAAATCAAAATTTGACGATATCAACACCAACAAAAACAACCAGTTAGAATCTCCTTACCCCTACTCGAGCTCAAAAAACACATACAAAGCACGGAAAAAAGTAGCATAGAGAAAGCTAAAGATATTTATTAAAAAAAAACAAGCGCCAAGCATGTAAAGCACACATTGAAAAGCTGAAAACCTACCACCAGACAAAAATGCCTATCCAACTATCCTTGTAAGGATTGACGAAATCATCTCACGTAAATCACATAATTATGAAAGTAAACAAGCCCTATGCTCTAGCATAAACATGATGAACACCTAGGCTACCGAAGGGTGAAAATCAGAAATGGAAACAAAATCTACTTCCATTATGATCCGCGTCCTAAAATAAATGAGTTTTAGAGGAGAAATATCAATCCCCATCCATACAAATGAAGAATGTGAATAAATAAAATACTTCATAACAGTGCAAATGACACCGCAGCGAAGTTGAAAACTGGAACCAGTATTTATGAGCACAACAGCAACAACTTATTCATATTACATGGATAATAAACATATAGAGATGGGAACAATTTCAAAAACAATTGCAGAGTGGAGTGAGATTATCCTCGACACAGGTTACAGCAACAGCAAGTTCTCTCGGCGACATTGAGGCAGTTGCTGATGGAAACTTCCCAACCTTAAATGATTTTGAGAACTTGTTGTTTCTTCGAGGAGTGAAGGAATAGACAGGAGTAAAGGAGTCATCTGCTTCGTCGTTGGCAATTAAAATGTCCCCATCCGGAAGGTTTGCAACAAGAGCAATTGAAGACTTCCCCCGTCGTAGCAATTCGACTGGCAAATTGATATCACATTTACTCCACTCACAATATATTTGCTCTGCAGGGCGGGTAAAGAGACGCAAAGATCTCCCCTGTCGTAGACAACCTTCGGAGAGAGCAATGCATCCCCCATATTGTGAGGGTATGCTGGTGACGAACCAGCAGTTGTCAGAGACTGGGGGGTGTTCAGTAATATTACGAAAGTGCTCAGGCGTCGATGTCAGATCAAAANCAACAAGAGCAATTGAAGACTTCCCCCGTCGTAGCAATTCGACTGGCAAATTGATATCACATTTACTCCACTCACAATATATTTGCTCTGCAGGGCGGGTAAAGAGACGCAAAGATCTCCCCTGTCGTAGACAACCTTCGGAGAGAGCAATGCATCCCCCATATTGTGAGGGTATGCTGGTGACGAACCAGCAGTTGTCAGAGACTGGGGGGTGTTCAGTAATATTACGAAAGTGCTCAGGCGTCGATGTCAGATCAAAACAAGTACGAGAGATTTCATTGCCAGTCCACCACAATCGTCCATTCACACAAATAGTGTGCATATTAAGGGGATTAAATGGTCTGGGATGAGGTACTTCGTTTCTCCACTTGAAGGAGGAGACTGGGCCACTGAGTGAGAGAACCTGAGGCACCAGGAAAGGTTGGCACCCGCACACATCACCAGGGCCAGGACATCCTTCACTGCACATATAACTAACACTTAGTATCTTATACACATTATGCAGGGTATCAAAGCCAAAATAGTAGCGAGTGGCAGTGCAGTTGGTAGCCTCCCCAGCACGAGGAATGCGAAGGTTGTTGTCCTTCTCAACAGCATTAGTATCAGGCCACCATGTATCAACAACAGCAGCACACAGTGCATCTCGGGAAGGTGGTGGGGGTAGTGGGAGGTCAAGGATTTCGCGGGTGCATATATTAAAAAGACTCAACCGACTGGCGGAGTATAGACACACAAGGCCATTCACGACTTGAGTCATCCATTGGTAGTCCCGGTTTCGGGGGACCCTCAGCCGAGGGACAAAAACACGAGGCTGGTGGCGGTGGTGTTGTTCGGACAGAGGTGAGTAGTAGAAGATGAACTCATCGTTCACAGAATCTGTGGTTGCAATGAGGAGCCCGTGTGAAGGCTTGTGGTTGCGGCGTCGGTGCACCTTGATGAAGTCAGGGGAGCTTATGATGCTATGCCATTGCTTACAAACGCACTTGGGTCGGCAAAGATCCCTAATTTCCAGCCTTGACAACACTTCTTCCCTGAGGACTTCATGAGGCAACCGTAAGATAGGTGCAAATTTGTCGCACCCACTCATGATGCTGATCTTAATTCCTCTTACACTACCATTATCCAACCTTCTCCTCTTGCAACCCAAACTATTCATCCTCACCATCTTTTTCTTCTATAAATTAAGCTCCTTCAACCTAATCGGAATACAATAGTCCAGAAATACAGACAGAGCCAAACTCAATACTTACGGATTATCTTCATTCACTTATGAATATTACCAAAGCAAATCAATCCAAATCCTAATCTATTAGATTTAGGACTCCCTACCTCGAGAGGAAAACTAACTGAATTCCGACCTTCCATTGTGCTCTGACGTCTTCAGCAAACTAACTGAATTCCGACCTTCCACTGTGCTATGACGTCTTCGGTCTTCCGCTTGAATTCCGACCTTCCATATCTGTTTTCCTCAATCACTGACCTTTCTTCCCTTTGTTCAATACGCCGCAGAAGAGGTAATGCTCATTCACTTATAAATAAATATTGCCAAAGCAAATCAATCCAAATCCTAATCCTGTTGGATTCAGGAATCCCTACCTCGAGAGGGATAGGTTACCGAAATTATCAATTTATTATCGGCACTGTTGTAGTGACACGTGAGAACAGGGTGCCACTAGCGGGTGCCACTGGGTTTTTTGGCACCTCCGGTGCTCCGTTCGTAAAATTGACGGTTCCTACCCCTCTAATCTACCCCTAAACTCCCACCCCTGCACCCCCACCCCAACCCCGCCGTAACCCCCCACAAAATGTGTGGCTATTATGCAATGCGTAATAGCCACACATTTTGTGGGGGGTTACGGCGGGGTTGGGGTGGGGTAGGGTGGGGGGTTTATGGAGTGAGTTAGGGGGTAGGAACCGTCAATTTTACGAACGGAGCACCGGAGATGCCTCAAAAACCCAGTGGCACCGGAGTGGCACCGTTTTCCGGTGTCACTGGAACCGGACCGATTTATTATATGGTACTCCGTATTATTTTACTAGTAATTTATAAATACAGTACCATATCCGGAGTCCAAACGTAACTCTCACTTTATAGTAAAGTTAATTTTTTTATTGGTGTTTTTTATTAATTTCCTAATTCATGTCTATAGTTCGTTAAGTTTTCTGTCTAGGAAATGATTGAATGTATGTATTCTAATGGATTTGGATTTGACACTGTTAAAAATTAATTTTCCAACAAAAAATAAATACTCCCTCCCTTCCTTCAGAAATTAATGTCAATAATTTTTGTTTGTTTGTATATTTTCATTGATTATTTGATAATATAAAATATTATTTTTACATTAAATTTTTTAATATAAATTTTTTAATTTTGTTTATATAAATTAATTTTAAAAAATGCACTATTTTGACTGGTAAATGGAAAGTTGTAATACTCCGTGTGATTTGGGACATGTAACAAACTCAAACACTACTCTGAAAAATAGATTCACAGGGCAGTAAATTAAACCGACAGTGCGGCACTCTGTAAAATTCCATACTGAATCAAAATATATATTTGGTACGGTATCCATGCTAACCAAAACCGTACTCGATCTGGAAGTATCAGTTTAGTATGGTTTGATTTTGGTAAATATTAGAATCAAAATTAAGAAACCTTATACTTTGGAATGTTCAAAACCTTTTATATAAAAAAATCGAAAGTATATTCAAATAAAGAAAGATAAACAATGGAAAAATGTATAATTAAATATAAAAATTCTTAGAAAAATTAGTTTAATTTATACTTCATATTTCACACACAAAAGAGAATGAATGATAACAAAATAGCATTTCAAATGTTTGTTAATTTTTTTATATTCATATAACAAAATTAAAATTCAAATAAATGATTATATAAATGTAAGATTATTTGTAATTCATTTTATTTTTTAATGAATAAATATAAAAACATTGTTATTTTTATAACATATTTGTATATTTGTTCGAATCAGGATTTTTCGACATAAGAAGTTACCTCGTACCGATCTCGAAACCGAAACGACCATTCGGTTCGGTACAATACGATTCTTTTCGGGTACTTTATTGGTTCGGTAATCTCAATCTTTTCGGGAGATTTTGGGATCGATTCGGTACTTGTTTGCCCCTAACGGTGACGGAAGCACATATTTTAGAGAGGCATTAAACTCACGCTCCCTCCCTCCCATATTATTTATCACATTTTCAACATCGTTAAGAATATTTACGAATTGATAAAAATAAAAAGTACAAATTACACATATTAAAAATATATCAAAAACTCATATTAAAAATTTGTCAAGGCATGAAGAATTTGTCATATTAACTTTAGTCAAACATCGTTTCGAAACAGACAACCTAAATCAGAACAGCTGGAGTAGTATGCAATGCTCCCTAATAAATTAATAGAAAGTTCTTAATGAATATATCATCTCAATCAAATAGGGTGTTGTTAGGGCTGCGTTTATCTTCGACTAATTTGGTTCCAACTTTAAGACTGATCTAATCTGAATGAATCTCATCTCAATGGATTTGATTTGATCTTTCTGAATAGCAGTGATCTGAATGAATCTAATCTAATTTGATTTAAATGGATTTAAATCAAACCAAATAATAAAATAATAATAATAATAATTTATTAATAATAATAATAATATTATTCTAAATTATTATTGTGAATTATTATTATTAGTATTATTAATATTACATGTTAAAATTAATGATGATTATTATCATTATTAATTATAATAATAATTAAAGTAATATTTATTTTTAAAGTTTATTATTATTATTAACAATCATTATTGTTATTATTATATTTACAAATAAATATTATTATTGATTGTTATTATCATTAATATTAGTTAATAATATTAATGATTATTATCATTTTACTCATTATTATTATTATCAATTGCTATTACTATTATTATTAATTAGGGTGATAATAAATAATACTCTGTAATTATTATTACTAATTATTTATTATTATTTATTAATAATGATGATAATATTCATTACTACTATTAATGTAATTATTTTTATTACTATTATTAGTCAATATTTATTATTATTATTTTAATTATTATTATTATTAAGTATGATGATAATAAACTATTATTAGAATTCATTATTATTATTAATTAATTAATAATGATAATAATAATTACTCCGTACTATATTTATTATTTTAATATTATTATTATTAATTTAAAATTATTTATTTTTTAAAATAATTTTTAAGATTTGAATGTATCCGATTTGATTTGAAGTGATTTGAATGATTCTAAGCTAATCTGATGTGAATGGATCTGATCTGACCCGATTCTGATAATAATAAGCAATAAGCAGTAGAAATAAGTTGAAGAGAACAAAACCTAAATCTACATATTTCATTTTAAAAAATAGATAAGTTTATCCTAAAAAATAAAAAATGGAGAAAAGTAATGTGTGGATTAATTTAAATACTCCCTCCTCAAAATGTAAGCAACATTTCATTATTTAAAAATCATGAAAATTTTTATTTATTTTTGCATTTTTATTGATTAATTGATCAAATAAAATATTCTTGTCACCACTTATTTTGTAAAACTTTTGACATAGGTTTTGAATATATAAATTTTATTTTTTATTTGTAGACAATTCTTTAAATAAAATGGATTAAAAAATTCAAAAAATTACTTCATTTAGCCTAATGTTAATTGCTTACAGATTTTTGTCATAAATACAGTGACTTTAGCAATGAGACAAATAGATTTTAATGCCCAATCAAATATTGTTGCAACGATTTACAGACCAAATTTACCAAAAACTATAAAAGCAAGGAAATCTACAACAAAAATTGTAAGTTACAAAAGTCCAGTAAAAAGTCTAGTAAAAGCGGGAAAAAAATCAAACTTATAAAAGTTTGGGTAAAACTTGAAAAGATAAAACGTACTAGATGTAAAAAAAACATCATAATTGGAGTAGAAAAAATGTGCTCCCAATTATTATTTTTACTTTTTTAAGTAAAAAGTTTAAAAGCAACAAACTTATTAGAAAGAGTAATGAATAAAGTTGTGCTATCCTGATCTTAAAATTTATATATGAAAAGTGATTTTTTTTCCACATTTTGTATGTATTCATAATTAGATCTCTTTTTTAAAAGTCATTGTACATTTATGAGATTATTACATGAACACCCCTTCTAGTTTGCTAAATGTGCACCGCTACTCACTATTGTTTCAAAACTTACACTGGTTCTCCTCGTGGTTCTGATATTGTTACGTCAATGTCCCTCTAGACTAAAATATCTTTCAAATATTATGTGAATATTGGAACTCGTGCGGATGCAATATCAAACTTATCATTGCATTCCACACTTCCAAAAAATGTCTTTAAGTTGGTATTCATTTCAAGAACATGGGCATAAACATTGTCGTCATACCCAATATAACATGTATACACACTGCCAAAGCATGATCATTCTATACTGCTAAAAAATGTGTTTAAGTTGGTATACACTTCCAGAACATGAGCATAACACACTGCCAGAAAGTGTGTGTAGTTAAGTGTATTGAACCATAACACACTGCCCAAAATAAAGGCACAACACAATGCCAGAAAGTGTAGGCATGCCATGACCATTTCACAGTGCCAAAAAAGGGTATGATTGGAATAGATTCATGCCATAAATAGCTAAATGTGTGAAAAATCATAAGAAGTTCTATATGTGTAATATTGGGTGTCTTAGATACTAAATAGGGTGATTTCTATTTTGAAAATTGGCACAATTTCTATTATTTTTTATCAATGTTTTTTATTTTCCTTTTTAAAATTATTTTTTTAATAATATTTTAGTAGTCAAAATTTTTTCTATTTTCAATAAAAAAATAATTAAATAACAAGAATTAACGTACACTTCATTTGTCGCAAATTAAATATTTTCATCTTTTATCCAAAAGAGGTATTTATTTGTTCTCTTTTCTCTACTAAAGCTCATTTCTCATTTTATGTTTATTAATTTTATACCGTTTCTTTTATTTTAATCAGAATTAAAATAAAAGAAAAAATAGAAAAGAAAAAGAAAAATATATGAAAAAAATACTTTTATAGAATAGGGATAATTAAGTCATAACGCTAATATATTCAAAAGACATTACTAAATATTCTTTTGGTACAAACATATTCACAAACAAAAAAACTTCTTTAGACAAAAATTGGAAATATTTAATTTGACAAATGAAGTATATGTTAAATTTTTATTTCAAACACAAACATTTTTTTATTTTTTAAAACTTTTTTTAAATTGTATGTTTGAAAAAAATACTTTTTAATTATTTCACACACAAACATTTTTCACATAATATTTAAAAGATATTTTAGTCTAGAGGGGAATTAGTATTGCGATATCAAAAACATGAATGGCAACAACGTGAGTTTTGAAACTATGAGGAGTAACAATACACATTTATCAAACCACAAAGAGTGTTGGAGCAATA